ATAAAAAAAAAAAATTAGCTGAGTGTGGTGGTGGGTACCTGTAGCCCCAGCTACTCAGGAGGCTGAGGCAGGAGAATCGCTTGAACCCAGAAGGCAGAGCTTGCAGTGAACCAAGATCGCGCCACTGCACTCCAGCCTGGGTGACAGAGCAAGACTCTGTCTCCAAAAAAAAAAAAGTTCAGTTTTCTTTGAAGAATCTAGACATGGAGAAAAAGCCCTGCCACATAAGTAGATCATCTACAAAGCGGAACTCAGATGGGTTCGAGTCCCACCTCTGCCACTGACAGTGCCTCGGTTTCTTCATCTGTAAATTGGGTGCAGTGATAGTCCCAGCATTACAGCATTGTTGTGAGACGGTGTTAATTTGTGGAAAGTGCTTCCAGCTGTGCCTGGGCTCCTAGGAGGGTCTCCACCAAGCAGGGCAGCTCAGGTCCGGTAGGGTTAGAACTCGCTCTAACCCCGTGGGGCTTGTGTGTGTGTTTGTGGTTCTAGCGCCCAGACTCCAACTCTTCCCCTGCTCACCACGGGGGCCAGCTATACTGCACAGCCCACTCCTGGGATGGACCCCACCGCAAACCCAGCCTTTCCCCCAGCTGCCCCAGCAGGGTACAGTGGATACCAGCCCCACTCCAGCCAGGAGTTCACCTACGGCAGCCGACCCCAGGAGCCCGTCCCCACGACCACCACCATGGCTACCTACCAGGTATCCAGTCCTTTCTTTGACCAGCATTGCCGGGAAACGTGGATCGCCCTGCGTGGGTGAGAGCGGTGGGCTCCCCGCAGCTACTCCTTCTCCCAGGCCTCTTAACCGTGATCCTTCCTTCGGGACCCTTCTGCTGGCATTATGTACCTGCGGTGGGGAGAAATCAGGGCAGAGTCGCTTCCAAAAGAATCCACTGCTCTCGGGGACAGGCCGCATGCATACCTCCACATCGGGGCAGTGGGGACAGTGACAGCACAGAGCTTTGTCCCAGCCTCAGCAGTGACTATGAAGGAGGACGAGGGTCACCTGGGTTGGAGGACCCCTCCCTGGCCAGGACAGATGGCCTCAGTCTCCTGGCCCCAGAGAGACCAGGACTCACCCCCTCTTCCCCACGCTCCGGGTTCCTGCCTTTCTAAGAGGGTGTCTATGGCATGTGGGGCACAGCTGGGTGGTGACAATCCCACCTTCCCAACCGAGGCACTCAGGCTGCAGACCCAGCCACTGTGTTCCCACTTGGTGTCGCAAAGATGTCCCCCATGACCATGCTCCAACTCCCCAGCCCTGCCGCCTGCACCTCGTCCCCAGGTCGTGTCGGTCAACGGCATCAGAGGCCACCTGTCACCCGAGCTCAGCACCCACCTGACCCCACCCTCTTCCTCCCTCTCCGTTTCCTTGCTAAGGCCTCGGGGGCTTCTCCCTGCAAACCCACCCTCTCCTGCCACACCCAGCGTCCTCTTGTAAATCGCAGTCGGACTCTTGGAAATCAGTGTCAGCTCCATGAGAGCTGCTGTGTCAGCCACATCCCCTGCCCCCTGCCCCCGGGCCAGGGCCTGGTCTTGGGCAGATGCTTAGGAGCCAGCGCTGCGGGAAGGACTATAAATGCAGAGTGCAGTGTGGCCAGGGCGCGTTGCACCTGCCACCTGAGCTGCTCTCCTGCGGAAACCCCCCCATAGGACAGTTACAGCTACGGACAGTCGGTGGCTGCCAGGAGCTACGAGGACAGGCCGTACTTCCAGCCTCCTGCCCTCCAGCCTGGGCGCATGACAGCCACAGACTCCTGCCAGCCAGGTGAGCCATCTGCAGGGTCGGGGCTGTGGACGAGGAGACATTCCCTGCAGCACAGCAAAACCTTGGGAAAGTTACATCTTTTTTTTTTTTTTTTTTTGAGACAGAGTCTTGCTCTGTTGCCCAGGCTGGAGTGCAGTGGCGCAATCTCGGCTCACTGCAATCTCCGCCTATCGGGTTCATGTCATTCTCCTGCCTCAATCTCCCAAGTAGCTGGGACTACAGGTGCCCGCAACCATGCCCGGCTAATTTTTTGTATTTTTAGTAGAGACGGGGTTTCACAGTATTAGCCAGGATAGTCTCGATCTCCTGACCTCGTGATCCGCCCACCTTGGCCTCCCAAAGTGCTGGGATTACAGGCATGAGCCACCATGCCCGGCCTG